TAAATATTTTCGGATACTCCGGGCTCGGTCTTGACAAGTGATTTCATTTTGGTGTATGAATTACATGATTAGCCGTGGCATACCCTAAAACATGTATTCTATCTCAATCTCTTACGTAAAAAGAATAATTTTCATAAGCATTCATTCAATTTACATCAGTGTACCATCAAGGGGATTAATCTTTGATTAAAATCAACCACATATTCTTTTCTTTTTTTTCTTTTTTTGTTTAAGCAAGGAGTACCTTTTACCTAGGGTACCCTGATAGACCGATAGTCAATCTGATGCAAGGGTCACTTTGACTCATTTTGGTGATCTTGAAGATGTGATCCAATGTTCAATGGCGACTTCTCCGTTCAAAATTACATGGTCGTCTACACCGATTAAAAAGTAATTATTAGAAGCTCTGTCAGCAAACACCCTGATAGCTGGAAGAAAACAAGAACCTATATGTAGCTCACAGTCCTCAAGAATTTCAAAACTCATGATTGAACCGGCAACAATATGGCCATATATGCCTTTTTAACCCCCTTCGACCGCCAAAAGTGGTTTCTTAAGAGAATTCACATGTTGCCAGACTCCGATTGATTCAACATTGAGAACGATCATTTGAGCTCTAAAGTCCCTTGGCCAAATGCAAATAGTATTTGGTAACTTTTTTTACTCACTTTAGAGAGATACAATTGCATTTAGAATGCTCTCCAAGAGACTTTTGGCCAATACAAGGGTAGAGGTGCCTTGAGAAGTTGCATTTTAGGAATGCAACTTGCACTGTTCATCGTGACTATTCATCTTCCCCAAAGGTAGGTCCGGCAACCGGCGACCGCCGCCTGAGGGCTAGCCCGACCCCTGCGACCACTGCCTGGGGTTGTCGGACCTCGGGCGTCGCCTGGGTCACGCGACCCAGGCGACGCTTGAGTTCGCGCGACCACAGGTCGCCTTGCTTGAGGTCAGGCGGCGGTGGTCGGAGACCAGATGTGGCCATCGATGGTTGGGCGGCGACCAGATCTGGCCAATGGCGGTAGCTGGTGGTTAAGCTCCACCGAAACCTTTTTTTGTTTTTTTAAATATTAGCAAAAGTCATTTAGCCCAAGTTGATTTTAAAAAACACTTACCAAACACTAATTGCATTTCAAAAAACTCCTTTAGCCCAAAGGTATTTGCATTCCCCCAAAAACATTCTCCCAAAGTCGAACCAAACGGGCCCTAAATGGGTGAGTCCGATAAACTTAAGCAATTATTTTTCGAAATAATATATATGTGAGCTCGTCCCGAAAGAAAGATGGAAACAAGGGTCGAGTCGCCACACCAAAGAGAGGGAATCGGTCTTAAACATAGTATGGTCGGATATGTTTAATCCGGAATGCAAATCAAGAAATTGAATTTCGATTGTTCGCGGAGCTGGAGTTGGAATAGTGAAGATGCTCGTGATGAAAACATGAACAAGTTCAAGCCAAATAACTTTTTACAATTATCCACTTTATGTCAAACGTCTCTCTCTCTCTCTCTAGGAAAGAAGAAACAACTTTGGATAGGACAACTTTATGTGTTGGACCGCCTTTTCGATAGCATACGATGCAAAAGCCTGCTTATTTTGATGCTTGCTAAGTTACCCATGATTATCATTCTTTTGTCTTGTTGTTTGTGCACGACCTCTTCCCTTGCTAGTTACAAAATCCAGGTCCTCCGTTCGATCGCGAGTTGTCTCCCCCCGATTTAAAGATGTGTTGACGCTCCCTAATGATTTCCATTTCACCTAGATGAAGGACTGAAATGGAGTGGGGACATGACAAGAGCGAGAGCTAGGTCGAAAAGAGGAGGAAAAAGGGAGCTCCATTATTACCCCCCAAAGAAAGTTTTATCTTTGATGCGTGACACATGGTACAAAAACCAATTCGGGGACCCGATTCTTTAAGCTCCACCTCATCTCCTTTTACATCATTGATTTTGTTCCAAAGTTCTGTGACAGCTCCACACTGTCCCATGTCGAAAGCTCGTGCTATGTACCATTTTTTATGGATGACGAGTGAGAGAGAGAGCTTGAGAGATCGTGTGATGAGCAAAAAATTTGGAGTCGAGAAGTTAGGGATCCAAAAACTTGTTTACGAAAAGATTATTCATCTGGAATTCTATTTGTCATGAACACTAAAGATTTCATGAGGCACGAAAAGGGGCTGTCGACCCGAATTTACAGAATTTTGGAGGCGCCATATGACGTATGCAAAACAATCTTACACAGGCTCGTGACATCGAACATAGTCTTTGATCCAATGGAAAAGAAAGGGAAAAGCAACATATAGGACCCATTTTATGTACAACATTTTGGAACTTATGTGGTGATGTTGTATCAATCTCTTTAGATTTATGCGAAAGTTGGGTTTGTGTTGCTAGGGATTCTCACGTCTTTGGTTCCTCTTTCTCAGGAGTATACTGGTGGATCTTGCATTTTTTCTGTTCCCTTCTCTCTGTCCTATTTCTTTGCCAACAAACTGGGAATCCTATGCTTCCTTTTACATGATTGCTGCTTCACATTGGTCTGTTCAGGTCCACCCATATGGACTGAATGGACCGACATTACAATTAGACTTCCAAAATCAAACTAATATATGAAAGACCCTTAGTTTGTCAAGTTCATAAGATTAGTAGATTGACATGGTTTAGTCTGATGTGAAAATGACGTATCAAAGACACGTTTCTCAAATTATGTGGGATCTACGGTGGGTCTCCAAAAAAAAATTAGGTTTTACGTAAGGGACGCCAAGTGATGTAAGTCACTCTTTTAAAGCAGCTGAATATGGTCATCTCATTAAATATGCAGTTACATATCATTTAGTAAAATTGTAAATCGGTCTTAATATCTATAGCATTGTCAAAAGAATATGTAAACTTCACACTTTATATGCACCGTTTATGCAAGCGCAATCACAACGAGAACCAAAGAGAGTGATGAGATGTAACTTTTCCGATTCCTTATTTTTGTTTCGATTTCTTATTTCAATGTGATCTTGCAGCTGTTGTACAAGTCGTGGAATGAGGTCAGTTATAAATAGTTTCGCTAAAGACAGACGTACACATCTGTAATGCTGTGAAAAAGAACCGGTTGCAAAATGTGGTATCATTTGTTCTCTTGAAAACCTTTTCTTTTTGCAAATGAGAAACTTCAAGGAAGGTGATGACTGCACCCCAGCTTCTTAAGAAAATGGATCGTGCTCATATGTCCTTATCTTCCTATGAGGAGGAATCTTGAGTACAAAACAAGGCCGTTTGACGATCCAATACAGCAAGTAAACCAAATTCTTTTTTTTTTCCTTTTTTTTTTTCTCTTTTTCTTCTTTAATTTTTTATTTCACTATGGCCGGGAGGGCCAATCAAGGGTCGTTAGGCCCTCGCCGACAGCTGGTGAGGGCCGCCGGACCCTTGCCTGCGGTCGTGAGGGTCGTGCAACCCTCTGGGCTGTGCTAAGGTCGCGAAGGCTATCCCGACAATCGCGACCTCAACACCACCCAAAGGGTCGCGCGACCCTCACGTAGAAGGCCATCGCGGGCGAAGGTGAGGCTAGCCTCGCCGGCCGCAGGCAAGGGCGGCCTCGCTTGTGACCGGTGAGGCCATGGTGAGGCTAGCCTTGCCTAGATCTGGAGGAGGGCCACGCAACCCTCACCCACAACTGGTGAGGGCTATCGGGCCCTCCCTGGCCACAGTAAAAAAAATTTAAAGAAGGAAAAGAAAAAAAAAGGGAAATTTTAAATTTTAAAAATTGTTCACGTCAGTGCTGACCATCATACATGGCACAGCTGGTATTCACGTTAGCAATTCTGGCCAAAATTGATCGAATGGACTCAATTGGCAAATTTTCAAAAGGTTTATAACTTAATTGGCAAAATTAAAAGGTTTATGACTGAATTGGCAAAACTGCAATAGGTTTAGGACTTTTGTGACAATTTTCCCCTATCTTGATAGTCAATCGGCAACCATGAAATTGACAAATAGTCCATTCAATCGACAACTAGCATGTAATCGACATCTTCAAACTTGATCCCATTGAGTTAAAGTGTAGCCAGACTTGGTCTTTGCTTGTATTAATAAGGAAAAATCGATGAGATCGAAATTGAACTGTCAATAGAGCCCGATGCTGCCGCATCACATAATATTAGGAACATGTTGGAAGTTAGATTTTGTGATTGAGTTTCCATGTTACTTAGCAGAACTTCAATATGATGAACAAGAAGCGGAAAAGAATGTCAATTACAAGAACTTCATCTCTCACTTAAGCAGCTCCAATCGTAGTCATTAAGGAAGGGGAATGTAAGAAACACATGAACTTCTCTATTGGCAAAATGGGTCATGAGAAAGAACCAATATGCTTGTGTAAAGATAAATAGCCATTCATTTATCGAGTAACTAAGAGAGAAATAGTGACCCGGTAGAAGAACAGGTAAAATCACTCTCTGGGCTTGGGAAGCCCAGTTTATCTATACTGATCGAGTAAAATGTATTTATCATGCAGTCGTATCAATACACTATCAGCGAACCTAAGAAATTCCCTTTAAAAAGATTAAGGGCATGTTTATTTTGGAGAAAATTTCATGATAAAACAAAATATTTTATGGGAAATTATTTTCTAAGATTTTTTTTTTTCCTTTTCAGGTTAGAGAGTTCATTTTCCTAACTTTAAGCATGATTTTTTTTTTTTTACCGTAAACGAGATTCTGTTGATCGATCATTTTCAGCAAGCCAAACGAGCGAAAATCCGGAAAACTAATTCATTGAAAATTCTTTCACTCAAACAAACACACCAGAAACGCGCCATTAAACTAAAGCTGGTTCCCCAGTTTCATTAATCGATGCCCATTTCATGATTAATGGAAAACAAGGATCTGCTTGGAGGATGCAAAAAAAGGCAAGCAAGTTAATTCATAGGAGCGAATTGCACACGACCACCTAGGCCCATGTTAGGAATGGCTTTTAGCATTTGTTTCTTGGCCATCGTCGGTTGACACAAGTTAGGGTGAACTAGGAGCATACCATACTTAAGCGATTAATCATAATCAGATCCTTACTTAAACGACACGATTACTTAGATAAGACCGTAAATAAACGCACTTTTTCCTCTGACTTTGAGTCCACAAGTTTCTTGAATCAAATGAGGCAATTCATGGAAATAAATTTGTTCCTCCAATAAAGTCGAATTCTAACTTCTTCCTCGCTGTGACAATAGCAAAAGACATCTCGGTGCAAAGACCAAGCAACACGAATGTTATAAGTGGGTTTATAAGAAGGGGCGGAAGACAATTTGGTCACATAAAAAGCAGCAATTCACATGTTCATCATCCGGATTAGACAACGAAAAAATTACAGAAAATTCCTTTTTCTACGTATTATTATAGCCAAAAATTTTACATGCATTGAATAAAACAAGATGAAGGTCAATTTGTAAATCGAGTTAAACCTTAAAAACCTTTAGAGCCCTTCTCCTTCAAGACGACGGGCTTCTTGGCCATGGCCAGACAGTACTTGGCGATCTCCCGGAACTTGGGCACGCTCCGGAGGTCGACCTTGGTCCCGTCCTTCAGCGTAATCACGATGTCGCCCCACTCGCCGATGAACCGCGGCACCACCTGGACGTCCTTGATCACCTGGTACGAGAAGTCGCTCCGGTCCTGCCCCGTCAGCCCCGACACCACCGTCACCCGCAGGTTCGTGAACCGGTACCGGAGGTAGAACGCCCGCGACACCGCCGCCAGCGTCAGCGGCAGCCACAGCAGCGTGAACCCGAGGAGGAGGTTCGCCACCAGGTCGCCGTAGTGGGCCCCGCCGTCGAAGAAGATGGTCTCCTCCTTCGGCTTGGCTGCGGCGGCGGCGGCGGCGGCGGCGGTTTCGGAGGAGGAGGACACTCGGAGTTTAGTTACCGGCCTGTTGGAGCTGGTTCTCGGCGGCGTAAGTGTGAGGGGGAGGCTGTAGGGAGGAGGGGGCCTGGTGGAGGGTAGGTGGCGGCCCGCGGCGGCGGTGGCGGTGGCGGTGGAGGAGGGTGGGAGAGGGGCGGTGGCCATCGGATTATCTGAAGTGGGATTCGATCAAGCAAGAGAGAAAATATTGTGGTGGATAAGTGACGTGAATTTTGATTTTTCTTGGAGGACTTCTTTTTTGTGGTCCGGATTTATCTGTGTTTCTATTGGTCGGAGCGTGGAAGTGTGGGACCAGAAGCTGGGCTTCCCTTTGGCCGGCCGACATTTGGCCACGTGTCATCATCTCAGCTTCAAAAGGTATATATCAATTGGGACGAGAAAGGGTAGGCCCATCTTTGGAGTCCAAATATACGGTGAGTTTGACACTTAGGGCTCCGTTCGTTTGGCGGAAAATATTCTCCTTTAGGAAAATATTTTCCCGAAAGTCATTTTCCTGAAAAATGTTTTCTCGGAACATAATTTTTCGGTGTTCGGCGACCAATATGAAAAAGTTTCGGAAAATATTTTTTCACCGGCGACTCGTGCGCCGGCGGCGATCGGTGGCGGCGGCGCGCCGACCATGCGGCCGGCGATCGGTGGCGGCGGCCGCCAGCGCGACCAGCGGCCGGCGACCGGCGGCGACCGCGGCGCGGCGAGCGACCCGGCAGACGGGCGGCCCGGCGGCGATGGCGGCCGACCATGACGGCGGCGGCCGGCTTCCGGCGGCCAACGGTGGTGACCGACGATCAACTTCCTCTCCCACGGAAAATATTTTCCCTCCCATGGGCAATTTTGCCTTCAATTTGGGGGAAAATGATTTCCTCTTTGTGAAAAGAGGAAATCATTTTCCTCAAAACAATGAAGGATTTGGGGGTGGGGAAGGAAAATGTTTTTTCGGCCTGATAGAATTTATCGTCTTGGGAAAGTATCAAAACGAACCCAAACCAAACCAATAAAATTATGACTCGAACCAAAATCAATAACTTCGGTTTGTTATCAGTTCGGTTCGGTTTTAGACCGTTATCATCGAGCTGTCTTACAAGTAACAAGTTTAATACATGCTATTAAACTTCAATGTGCAATGGAAATTAACAAAAAAAAAAATAGAACATATTTTACACACTTATTGGAAAAAAAGGATTAAAATCACAATTAATTCAAATTAACTTATCAATGACATAAAAAAATGTTATTTAACTAAACGCAAGAACAAAAAAAGATTAAAGAAAACTCTTTCTTAACTATTATTTGAGATTAAAAACCAATCAATGATTGCTAACTTGCGAAGTAGAAAATTTTCATTTAGATAGTATAGAGCAATCTTAGATAGGAAGAACTTAGGTTAAACTACAAATCTTATTAGTCAAAAGCAAAATATATTTATTTTTTGAACTTATCGTCTCAGTAAAACAATAAACTAAACTTATCGATTTGGCTTGGCACGATTTTCAGTGTTAGGTTTTCTATGAACACCCATAATAGTGAAAATAATATGTTAAGTCCGGCGAGGGCTCCGTTTTCTTTTCTTTTATCTGTTCCTTTTTTTTTCTATCAATTCCGACGAGGGCCGCGACCCTCACCCGCCAGATGGCAAGTCACCGGCAAAAGGAAGAAGAAAGGAAAAAATAATAGAAAAAATAATTTGAAAATTAAAAAATATTTAAAAAATTCCACATCAGCGCCAGCAGTACCACGTAGGCCGGCTGGCATCCACGTCAGCAATATCTAGCCATAATTAGCTAGAATGACTAAATTGACACAAGGTCAAAAGGTTTAGGACTGAATTGGCACAATTAAAATGCTTATAACTGAATTGGCACCAATGCAATAGGTTTATAACTTTTCTAACACTTTTCCCCGTTTAACTTATTGACGCAAGGTCCACGAGGTGCCACTTGGTAAACTTATTCATTATTAAAATTGATAAATTGATATACAATCGTTAGACATGAAAAATGGAAAAAAGATTATCACTTTCATATAAAAGTATTTACATATTCACCGTTGAACATGTGACGTGATTGTATCAATTCGCAGTTACTTTTGTAAATGGAATCTTCCACATTTCAACAATCCAACAATGAAAATGTGAACCAATTCTTATATCGGAAGTGGACCTAGTAAAAATCATCAATATTAATAATAACTCGTTAAAAGAAAATTCCTAATTTCTAAATTTCCACTTGTTAAGCCATCATATTCGGTCGGGCCACCATTGGCAGTTGGTGGCCAGTAGTGTCGGGGATCATACTGAGGATGGAGCTTTGATGGCCCGCAACGGCCGACGGTGGGGTTAGGTTGGGAATTTTGAATTTTTTGGGTATTTCCTCTTCAATGACTTTTTTCTATCTTAATTAAAAAAAAATTACAAGTTTATATAAAAAAATTTATGTTTTAAACGACAAGTTAACGGCTAGCTCAAATTGAATCTGAATTATAGGGCGACGTACTTTTTTAATTGAATTTAAGGCCAGATAAAATTTAAAAATTGAACTGAGCGTAGCCAGGTTCTTTTGTTAAATAGTAGGCCACGAAAGCGAAGATGAATTTCAATGAGATGAGTAAACTTACGCTGTGCAAAGTTCCATCACATGAGAAGACGACATGATCTCGGAGGCCGTACTAGATGTCATCGTTTTCGATTCGACAATCGATGGCAAAGCATATCAACAAAGAGATCAGAACATAGGTAGAGGGAAAGTTCCCAATCCCATCATCATTTGCTCGATAATTATAAACTTGGTTTTCTTTTCTAGCATCAAAAACCTTTCATCTCATCAGAAAGTCTTCTATCTATGTCATTAAGAACTCTCCATGTCAGTGACATTATGCTAACGACCAAGCACAAAACAAAAGAAAAGCATAACCCAAGAAACAATAATAATTCATCCGAATCAACCTCGAACTTGGCCACCGCACAACCGTATACTAATCATCGACCCATCTTATAAAAAAAATATCAAATGGCGTTTCCTATTCTAGATATCTTGGAGCATCTTCTAGGGATCGCCAACGAATGCAAAAAGCAAGAGAAATTAATTAATTATGATTAAGTGCAAAAGGCAAATGACTAAGCAATCATTTCTGATATTGCCCATCACATGATTTGTTCATCATAGGGTCGTACTCGCAGCAGCAACCGATGACAAACTTGTTGGGCGATTTCCGGGATTCTTCTTTGGTGCATGTTGAGCTTTGTTTATGCCGCCATGCACGTGGCCACTCTGCAAGCTCTCCTCATTAATTAATCTCGATTCAACATTAGTTTATGGGGGGTGACTTAACAAAAGAAATATGTTAGGTGGAAGAACAACGTGCGTTGGGATCTGGAAGAATGCGATCGAGTGCCAAAGTTCCAGCCTTGATGCCAGGGATTGCTTATTCATTGGGCACATGATCCCATGAACAAGATAACGCAATGTAACTGCCCGGTTTAGATTAATCATTTTCAGGGATTATCTTGTCGGGTTTAGTTTTCTGACTGCCTTTTGAGGGCTTGATCAGTAGAATCTGGTGATCTGTGTATCTGTTAAAAACGGTTGCTTTTTAAGGTTTTCAATGGCGGGTGTCTTTGGCCGCCGAGCGATCAGGGGACGAGGTTTGTGTTTTTCAAAAGATCCATGGCAATGTTGTAAGTGAATATGCAATTTTTGATGAGGTGAGGAAGCAAATTTGTAGTTTTCAAGGTTTGATCAAGAGGTGAAAACTCGTACTTTTTACATTTTTCCCTTTTTCTTTAACATCCGTCAAGAACTTCAAAGTCGAAAAGGACTTAGCGGATGTTTAAGCGACTTTAATTACTATCTAAATATAGTGGTTATGATCATGAGCACACTTCCATTTCTGGTGGTTGGGAAATTGTGGATACAAATCAGAGAGGGATAACCATTCACTCCATGTTCAGTCCGCATGAATAGATGTGGACAAAGAGAATTCAATTCCTTTGGATTCAATTTTATCCAGTAATGTCTGCCTTCTCCACGGTTTGTATTGATGGCTTTGCTTGTGTCGGCACCAGTGGACGCATCAAACAAGAGCAATGTCTCTACCTGCTGATAAATTAAAGAACAGTGAGGTACTGTGAAAATGGACATAGCGTCTGATGAAACGTGTAGTGCAATAGTAGATTTTGTACACTGTGAGATTCCCTTTGAAGGAAGGTTTCATTTTCTATGGACATGTTCATCTCGCACACGACCCACGTAAATTTTTCACGGGTCTAGATGGTCATCTGTCTTCAAATCCAGATGTGAATATGCTGTGCATCCTTGGAAATTTTACACAGTTGCACAACAATTGAAATCCGTCTTCTTTTGCACGCGGTGGGGCTGGTATAGGAAGCCGGCCTTGCTTAAGTGCGCGACTATGTGCTCTCAAATGATACACAAGCAACTTATGTAGCCGTATTAATGAAGTGATGAAGTTTTTGGAGCATCTAGCACCAATGGTCGGTGAGAATCAATGTTTCTTATGTTACATACATCATGACAATCTTTAAACTAACACAAACTTCACGCATCACGCACACCGTGATTATCTCTGTCTATTACTTCGCCATTGATATGTGCCTCGTTCATAAACAAGGACTGTAAACAAGTACATTTCCTTATTTTCCAACATATGAGAGAGAGAGAGAGAGAGAGAGAGGATAGCTAGGTGACAATGGGGTCACATGAAGTCTGGCTTTTACAAAACAGATTGCAGAGGACTCAAGCGCCGAGCGATGGTGTGTGTGTGTGTGTCGTGTTTTTACAAGTTTTTTCAAAGTCTCTTTCACGAGAGAACGACCCTTTTCCCATAGCTTTCCTCCTTATGTTTTCTTCCACGCTTCCATCTCCTTGTCTTCTTCTCTTCTCGGAATTTGTGCTTTGATTCTCTCTCTCTCTCTCTCTCTCTCTCTCTCTCTCTCTCTCACAGGGATATACAGCCCCCTCCAAAAGAAATGCTTTCTTTATCATCCTTCTGATAAAAAGCTATGTGCTTTTGCTAACTCCGAGTAGATTTTATTCGGTTAAAATAATCTGCAGTGGTGGTGATTGATCGATGAAATCACCGGAACAAATGATTACCACTTTCTTCTACTCCCACCCTTTCCCCTCTCTCCTTTAGAACTGACTGACATCTACCCACTAGATCTCATTTGATCATAAGGAGGTGAAATATAGCGACGAAAAAAATGATGAGGAATTGCTTTTATTTTATGTCCCATGCTCGGACTGCAATTGCTATAGTCATCAATTCATATAGGTTTCAAATTTCATTACTCTAAGAATCAATCAAATCCCATGATCTAAAACTTTAGCTACATGCGTTCTCTAACCAAGCTCTAGACCTCTACGAAACATAAAGTGTCATTTTATTTCAAAACAGAAAAAAAAAAAACATGAGAAGTTCTTAAACGATTAACCTCGAAATTCTCAAATTATCATATGCGTTACTATTTTTATACACCAAAATTTAAGCAAGAAAAATGGGGATTTTCCTCTTCCCTCCCTTCTTATAAGTTATCTCGTGGAGGATAATATATATAATGTACTTCCCATAGCTTGGCTCCGCGTAGGAATCGAATTCGATTTCGCTCCTTGATTTCTTTCAATAATGCTGTTGCTCCAACCATGGCCAAATCCCGGAGTGATCGTCGATGCCGCAGAACATGTTGGTGATGCTGCTCTCTTCCTTGACTATCATTGAATGATCGGGCCTCGAAGGGTTCTGAAACAGCTGTGCCACCGATCCCCCGGAAGCGGCAGGCCTTATCGAGGCGGGGAACAGCTGGCGGCCAGCCGCTGGCGGCACGTGGCCTGAGACCGGGCTCTCGACTGGCGGCGTCCGCGTGATGTCAAGCTTGATCTCGGAGCTGTTCTCGCTCCGGTTGCTGCAAGAGCCCTGGTCGGTTTCTTTGTTGAGGTTGATGGATTCGGCTGGTTCTCTAGTACTCTTGAGTGCCAGTATCTGCATATTGCATATTCCATGATAAAAGAAAAAAAACTAAAAAATACCCATCAAGATTAATGCCAAGAAACACAGCTTGGCCTCTCAATTTGGATTGAGAAAATAACGTTGACTATGCTTTGCTCCACCAGATTATGTATGAATAGAGCACAAGTCGCTTTGATCAAGAACACAAACTAGAGCAAGAGGGTCTTTTATTCTTTTGCTTCTTTGTAAGAAGGTTTGCATTAGCTAGTGAAGTCATTAACCAAATGAGAACCCTCTTTTCCTTTGCTCAAACGGAACAAAAATGAAAACCCATTTTCAGAGGAAAAGTCAACATTTAAGAGCATTCGTCCTTTGGCCAGATCATAAAAGCATGAAGGAAAAAAAGCACACTGCACACACCATTCAATCCCCACGAAAATTCCAACAATTTCAAACGTGTCTAAACTAAACACAAACAACTGTTAGCTCTAGCTCAGTACTTTAGTTTCTGCAATAAAATTTTCATACATACCTCAGCTTGAAGCTTCTGATTCTGAGCTTGGAGGGCTTCGTTGTCAGCCTTCACACCATCAAACTGTCTCTTGAGCAGGTCATAGTCCTTCTCGAGCTGCTTTGTCTTCCACCTCGCCCTCCTGTTCTGGAACCAAATGGCGATCTGTCTGGGTTGGAGACCAAGTGCTCTTGCAAGCTGCATTTTCCTCTCAGGCTCAAGCTTGTTGCCGAGCTCGAAGTTCTTCTCCAATGTCTTCACCTGCTCCATGTTGAGCCTCCTCTTCTTCTCTCCCCCTGGCTGCGACCCATCATCTTCTGACAGATCTTCATCTCCATTAACGTTGCTGTTGTTGTTGTTGTTGGGGTCGTCACTCACGTCAATACCTGCAAAGGACATGGATCTCTTGCCCAGTAGGGAGGCGACGCCTGTGGGTGCACCAACGGGAAAAAAAAAAAGCAAGCACACTTAGCAAATATAAAAGCGGCAAGAAAAGAAGAAAAAGAAAGAGACCCGGTAGAGTCTTCTTAAGTACCATGGTAGTCTTGAGGTGTGCAAGAGGATAGGATTTGGTGTTGATGGTGGTGGTGAGGGTGTTCATGATCTTGATCGTGGGGGTTCTGAAGCATGAAATTTGCTGAAAAGAAGGCCATCAATTCAATCCAACACTAATTCCAAGTCATGGCCTGAACCTTATGCACTCACTCCTCCTATTGGATTCTTTGAGACTCCACAGTTTAAAGCCTGACAGTCATGTTGAAGCTCAGAGAGAGAGAGAGAGAGAGAGAGAGAGAGAGAGAGAAGAGAGGAAAAAGGGATGGTGATGGTGACGATGACTATATTTGATGAAATAAAAACCCTATAAGCTAGAATTGAGAGGGAATAAATTCTCTTGAGGTACGAAGGAAGATGCACAAATTGGTGAAATGCTGGCAGCTTATATATCTTGCAAGCTCCAGCTATGAGTTGTTCTTCCAAAAAATATTGATACAGCCGTTAAGCAAAAAGGAAAAAAGAAAAACGTAAAGGCGGTACTAGTAAGGGAAGAGTTGATGTCCTCCTAAATAGTAAATATTATGTGAATTTCCCGTTTTAATTTTTTGTTTATTACACGGGATACCCGTGCTTTTTTATTCTAATTTAATATTTCTCATGACATGAAACGGAGAAAAGGTTTATCCGGCGAAGAAATTGAGGGGAAGGAAACGTTAGTTAGTGGGCGAACGAACGGTCGTGTTCATAGCCTCTCTTTGTTTAGAGTGATGTGAATGTGAGGTGAAAACAACGTCAAACTCATCTGGTGAGGGGAAAAACCCCTTTACTAGCTAGGCAGAAAAAATCAATTTTTCTCAGTTCCTGTACTCGGAGTGTAAAGGAACAGGAAAGCAGTGAAAGCATCATCTTCTCGCTCTCAGGAGACAAATAGTGGTACTTTTGTTGCCACCAGTGGACAGTTGTACTCCCTTGGAGCTTCTTACTTCCGGCATGCAGATTTGATTAGAGCATCAAAAACCCTTTTTCAATAGAATTAATACCACGAAAAATCTCAAATTGATACGTCTGTGATAATTTTACCCCAGACAAATTTTTTTACCAAGAAAAACCCCAAACAGGTACACCTGTGACAAATTCATCCCAAACTAATTTTTTTATCATCAAAAACCCCGAACTGGTACATTTGTGACAAATTTACCCTCCGTTAGTTTCCGTTAAATTGAATTAATACCACAGAAAATCATAAACTGGTATGCCTGTAACAAACGGAGGGTAAAACATAAAATTGTTACATCCGTCAATTGTCGCGTGTTATTTAACAAAGCTATTTGATAGTAAAATTTAACGAAAATAAACTGAAGGTAAATTTGTCACAGATGTACCAGTTTGGGGTTTTTGGTGGTCAAAAAATTAGTTTGGGGTAAAATTGTCACGGGCGTACCAGTTTGGGGTTTTTCGCGGTATTAACCATTTTCAATATTAGGACATTATTGTTCGAGTCGCATAGAATTTCCCACGAATTAGTTTTATGGGCTTTTGCGCATTTAATTAGTTTAGGGGAGGAGTTTTCCGGAAACATGATTTCTCTGGAAAAGCATTTTCCTCTCTCACCAATTTTTTCCCCGAAACAAATACGCCGTTAAATATTATAAATCTTCCTTCATCATGCAGCGGGTGAAAGGAGTGCCCCCACAAGAGAGGGAGCCCCTTCATATGGGCAACAGCAGCAAGAGGTGAGAGAGAGGGAGGGAGGGAGGGAGAGACTTTGGGGGAGAGCGGGTTTGGATTCTCTCATGAACAAAAGCAAACGTGCATATGTGTGTGTGTGTTGTGTGATATTTTAGGCAGAGAGAGAGAGAGAGAGAGAGATTGCTTGAGAAAGGAGAGATGAGTTGGCCCCCTAATATTTTTTCCCCTTAGGAGTTGAAAAGGAGGGGGGGGGTCACCATGGAAAGACACCCAGAGAGAGAGAGAGAGAGGAATCTAAGGAAGGAGGGAGGGAGGGGGGGGGAGAGAATGGGGTCCAATGGAAGGGCAGGGTTTGCTACCTAAACCACCAACAAGCAATGTGCAATCGGACGGACCCTCTTTCCCATCATCACCCCTTTTAGCCTTTTCCTCCTTTCAATAGCCAAATACGTGAGTGATGGAGTGGAAGGAAGGAAGAGAGATTATATAATATTCCACCATTGGAGCTGTTCATTTTTGTCTCGGAGCAACCTTTGTGCGTATGGGTTCAATGTGTTCCCCTCTCCATACCCCCTTTGCTCAATGCCATACAACACACACACTCTCCCACCTCCTAGACTTTTCCATCCATGTTTTCATTATTGGATTGGAATTCTCTCGATTCGAATGGGATAGATCGATTCGGGTTACCCCCGCGTGCTCGTGAACCATCCGCCGCCGTCCTTCGTGAATCGGCAAGCGATCGAAATCGGATGCATTTTGCTATTACTTCGTGATCTTAGAGGGGAAAAAGTTTACTACCCGGTCGAGGAGCTAATACATATGTTTTGATCAGTTCTCTCGGCGAAATGCATCAGTCTCCCTAACCCTAGTAGTTAGCGGTGTAATTCCTGATCCCGCGCGAATTAGGTTTTTCCATGCCGAGAACGGTCCTGATAAATAAAAACAAAATAATAAGTGAAGAAATCAAGCAAAACCCTAGTTTGCATTCTTCATGATCACCCTCTTTCTTTAATCCATGGAGTTGCAAGTTGCACCCGTAGACCTTTAAACAAAATATGTTTTAGTTGAAGCTTTCCTCTTACTTGTCGAATTGGATTGTCAGACGATGAGGTCCCAAAAGAAAAGAAACCGCCTGAAAGCACTCCTAAAGTCTAAATATCAAATAGTGGCAACTAATTTTATGCTAATTAATTATTAACCCCGTGATTCTTTATTATCTTGACTTTTTTACCTAAACCAAATTGGATAGCTCTCTCAAGTTAGTGAAATCCTCATGATTTTCTCTGTAGTCCCTGCTTGGCCGCTCAGGGTTAATATTAAGTATAAATCACGTACATGGAGAGCAACATAGCATGACACTCGTGAAAAGTATAAGACATTCGAGGGAATAATTGCCGAAAAAGTCATAAACCTAGTGTTACGGATGTCAATTTAGTTCTAAATCTTTTAATTTGGCCAATTTAGTCATAACCCTTTTGATGTTTTGCCATGTAGTTTTTCCGGCCAATTTGGCCGACAATCGCCGATATGGACACCGACCATCCTAACTGCATAGATGAGCTTCTAGCAGTCTCTTTACATGTTTGGTCCTTGACCTTTTTAATCGGCTATAGACACGCATTCTTTTGTCTAATCGGCAATTCCAAGATCCCTGCTATCATTGCTCGACCACGCCGCACAATTTACCAAGCCACAAGCACCTTTAATAATTTAATTCGCAAGCTTACCCGTTCAAAGTCGCAATTAAAAAAAAAATAGCATGTCGAGATTAAGGAACTCGCCATGGATTATATCGCACGCGATCTACTTCGAAGATTCGAATGGGTCAGGTCAGAATTTCGCTAGTGAAAACAGTATATTTTCCCTCTTCGTGGCAATTGACCGAACGTTCATGGCTTGCCCTGCTTTTTTGCCATTTCAAACGCATCGGACCCATCAATGGAAATCGAAGCACCCAACACATGGCCCCAGAAATTTTAAAGATTAGCCAAAAGTTTGCGGGCTGATTTAACGGCGTCTGCCTTTTCTTTGCCCCACAACAAACGCATCGAGCTGATGAGATTGATGTTTGAACTGAAAGGCGTGACTTTGACCACCCCGGAGAGAAGCAATTGCAGAATCGCCCCCATGCATTGCATACATGTTCAGCTGTCGCTTTTGGCGGCCATGTTCATGGTTGAGACATCAAAGGGTGGACACACTCGGGAAAGAGAGACCGCCCCCAGGATCGACGATCGGAACTGTTTGCATACATTCCAGCTGCCGATTTCGAAGCCCCCCCGTTGAGAGAGACTTGGTATGTGCTACATGCATGGCGCAACCTAGAAAGCTCCTAAGGTTGAAGTAAAACCATATTTGAACCATGGAATAAGATGAGATCTTCTGTCAAAATATTCGTTTGTCGCTGTCAATTAGCAAGCATCAGAATCGCCCTTATGGCCGCCGTCGTCAATTGGCCAATAGCAGCACCAGCAACATCTTGCATCCGCCGCCGCCGCCGCCGCCTCCTTCTTCCACCCGAATATATTCTCATTATCTGCCAATACGGGGCTCAAACACACGTCATTTAGAACTTTAATAGTCAAACTTCAATCACCCACGAAAATCCCAAATCCAAAACAAAAGTTGATCATTAGGAGGGGAGAAGAATTCATAATTCATTTGACCTCATTCTAGGCAAATTTTGGAAACAAATGTTTCAACTGGTGAGCCTCTTAAATATGGTAGAAATGGTTCTGATGCACGAAAAGACATAAGATTCGGCCTGACTTTCATGGCTGCAGAAAAAAAACCCCAAATTCGAAATGTGACCGACTCTAGCCAATCCTGGACATGCATGGTGAGAGCATCGATCTCCCAAGTAATCAATTCAGGAGCTAATGGACCCGCTTGTCTGAAAATAGGCAAAGTAGGATCCGACAAGTACTAATTCGGCCACAGGGAAAAAAAAACAATACACATGACCACAAGTTATCGGAGCTCGTTTTTGTAAACGACCTAGCGGGAGATAATCGATCGCGGTGTGAAAACTGTAGCGAAAATCTGGGTCTTTCCACGAGACATAACGCGAAATTTCACGCTATACGTGACCAAGGGTGTGTTTGTTCCGGGAAATACTTCATAACGAAAGAAAAAATGCTTTTCGAGAAATCATTTTCCGGGAAAATATTTTCCTATTTTCAAGTTAGGGAATTCATTTTTCTAACTTTAGGCATACATATTCTTTTTTACCGTAAATAGATTTCCATTGACTGATCATTTTCAGCAAAGAAAACACGTGAAGTAACAGAAAACCAATTCGCAAATAATTCTTTCACTCAAACAAATACGCCCCCTAAGTTTTTTTTCTTATTTTTTTGATATGTTTACATGGGACGAAGTGGGTACGAAGAGTGGTCCAGACAATAATATGTCGCCCGAGAAGAGCTGACTTAAACACCGTCACATGAATTCATCAGTTGGAAGCTGGAGGGGGTACCCCATTGGAATGGGGTGGATCCATGTTCTTTAGGTTCTTTCCCCCATTTTCCAAAGTTTTATTTGACTAGCAAAAGTCCCACAATCTCACATTTAAGAAATGGAAAAAAAAGAGGAGGAGGAGGAGGAGGAGGAGGAGGAGAAGAAGCTGAATCTTCTCTTCCACATGCGCCCTCTTGCTTCGCTTCTGGTGCGCTCAGCCGAACGCTGATCCCATGTGCATCCCGCTTGTCGTCGTCGCGCTCTCTTTT